GTGTGTGTATATATATATATATATATATATATATATATATATACACACACACACACACACACACACACACACACACACACACACATATCGCAGAGAACTGTGATGCGTCGGGTAAAAGTCCGCAATATAGCGGGGGTGCGGTAGCTGAACGGCGATTAGCGGGGGATCACTGTACATTTAAGTGTTAAGCACTTGGAATGAGTGATGACATTTGAACACGACTGAAAATACTAGTTAAAAATTGTGCTGCGAATGTTGTTGTAACTAAGTTATATAGTTTTGTTAGCCAACAGACTGTTACCAAGTTACCTGGGTGTCTATGACTTTACTTTTATACTATAATATCTATATGCTGTACAAGGGTACAATGGTACAATTTTTCATAGCATTTTGCTAATCTCTATGCTCTTTCCCTACCCGAAACAACAGGACGAGTCAGAAGTAACTTCAGATGAGGAGAACTGTCTAACGCAAGACGAGATCCGGTCATTTCTCGATAACAACAAGTCCTTCTACAGTAACAGAGATCAGTACCGACAGCACCTGAAAGATAAATTTACCAAGTACTGCCACTCAAGTGTGCAGAAGAAGCCAGTCTGCAGTGGGGAGTGGCTGACCGTTACGGGAGTCAACTAACTGTCTCCACACACTGCGCCCCCTGCTGTCTTTTTAAGGAGATGCTGAGCATTGCGTCGCCTTTCAACTTTCTGAAGTACATTCGGTGTCTCGTTCAGTGACTTTCTTTTGTATTTCCTCCTTGAATCCCCTCCATTCCTCATAGACCACGTTTTTGTATTTATTTTTGGCATCACTGTTAGGGCTAGTGGTGGGGAGCACAACTGATTGTTTGTTTTTCTTTGTTTTTTCTTTTCTTCCTTTCAGGCTTGCAAGCTGTAACGTTTAGGGTAACTGTGGTAGTCTGTCCTCTCTGTTCTCATTTTGTTTTCTGACTATGACACTTCAGTTTAGTGGCAATGTTGTACCAATAAATGTGTACAGAAATGAAATTATCTGAATATAAAGATTTTACAAAGCATCCATTTATAAAGAGGTTTAGATGTAATGTTAAGATGCGCAAAATTTACAAAATAAAGAATATTTATTAATATGCAGAAATGTTTGGGTGTGTTGAATGCTTGTGTATAAATGATCCTTTGCGTTGCTGTTATTCCAGTGCGGATTTGTTGTAACCTGCAGTAATGAAAGTTATGGCCTGAAACACTGGTTTCGCAGATCCATCGGTAGGTGGCGACAGCGCTCTCCCAGGATGGCTGATATACAGTGGCTGGATTGTATCGCGAAATATACTGCACTATCTCAAAACGTGGGCGAGAAAATGTACCTTTTACCAAAACCTGCAAGAATCCATTAGCATACACATCAACACGATCTGTCTCCACTTCTTGTCGGTCTTTTCCATGTTAAAGTTTAATGTAAATTTCAACATACTTTCAACACGTTTTGGTTAAAAGCAAGAATTAGCTTGCAAGCTAGCAATTCTTAATACCTGTATATTAAAGAATATGTCCATGGGTGTCGTTAGGTTCGATCAATCCGAGTATTTAGCCCCGATGCCAATCTTCCTTCAAAATAAAAAAAGTCAAACTCCAGGTGAACTTGACTTGGCCCCTGATCGTTTCAATGGCTAGAAGCTCCCCTGGATATGTCCCAGAAACAACATAAACCATCATGTACGACTTGGTTTTCTACACCTTTTTTTAAGTAATTAACACCATAAGCGCAGAATCGAGCGAGAGGCGCTGTCAACCTAAGGGCCCGACTTCATTCTTTGCCATTTAATTTTTAACCCGGCGCGCAGTGACCGCGTTTCTGTGCGGGGAGGGATTGACTGCGGTCTCGCCCGCCTTCCCCGGTTTTCCACTGCAGGGAGGGAGAGAAAGTGGAGCCTCCTTCGCGACCGTATCGCAAAGTTGCAGCTTTGCTACGCACGGTGGACATGCAGCGCTGGAAGGGCAGGGTGGCGCTGGTGACCGGAGCCTCTGTGGGCATCGGGGCAGCGGTGGCCCGGGCGCTGGTCCAGCAGGGTATGAGGGTTGTCGGCTGTGCCAGGAACGTGGACAAAATAGAGGTGGGCAACCTTAGTGTGTCGTATCGTGTGTTCACTTCTGCTGTAACTGATACTTTCAACTGTTTCTGTATAGCTATTGCAGAAACGCGCTTAATTTCAGCTTTTGTTTGCATGAAGTACAATAATACACTTAAAAATTGACACTTAACATTAACATTGTCAAACATTTTCGTGTTACAGCACAGACCGTCATGGGCGTAATTAAGCATCACATGATAAACTATTGTATTCTATTACTAATTTGAGTAGCACGTGACTTATTCGCGCTGAATTCTTTTTTTAAAACCTGATCCATAGAGTCGTGCGTATAAAAAGGTACACTTCGATCATTTAAAATAAACCCTACTACTACTCAAATATACTGAGTGCAAAATTGGTTCAAAATTAAACCTCAAGGCGCATAAAACTTCCATGGAAAAATTGTTTGGCCAGTATTTGATAGATATATTTTTAATTCTATTCTTTTTAAAGAGTGAACAGCGTGTGAACAGTGAAGTTGTTGCCGAGTGTAGATACAGTATAGCAAACAAATGCAGTAACTCGTAATACAGCGCGATGTTGCCTGAGGTTAAGAAATACTATAACACTTTATGGCAATAAGTGTGTGTGTAACGTAACTCCAGCACACAGCATTAACCCTCCCAGTTGTTACTCGGTTTCTCAATAACAGCGCTAATTAACGTACAAGTTCATCTGTAGTTCCTCCTGTCAAACATTAACGCTTAATTACTGGAGCAGCCGTCCTTGACTTTTTCCGACAGTCCATTCATATAAATAAGAAGAGTTTGATCCTTACTATTATGGTGAGTAAACTCTTGCAGATTACATCTAAGGTAAAAAAAAAAAACTAATGGAATGTTGATTTAGAAAATGATTTTTAAAACGTAAGATTTGGTCAGACACTGGTGAACATCACTATTATTTTGCTTGTTATTTTCAATAATGTGCACATTGCTAAAATGACATTTTGTAGCGTGAGTTTTTAATTTTCTTGAAATGGATTATGTGATGTCATAAGAGGTACCTTATAGAGTTATCAGTGCCTGGAAAACGACGTCTGGTGACATGATGGTATTCACACGTGTGCGGAGGGAGCCGCGGATCAGTGACATCTCCGCGTAGCATCACTGACCAAACGTGACCGTTTACAAGCCTCGTTTCATTTCTCCTGGGTCTTGTTGCATTCGTGGTTTAGCTTTGACATTCCCAGCTTCTCGTATGCTTCTCGATGTCCTTCTCAAGATTTTTTTAATTTATTTTTTTGCCTTTTGCGTTGCTCGTCCTGGTGGTGCAGTGGTTAGCATTGTGGCCTTGCCCTTCCGGGACCTGGGTTCAAGTCTCTGACAGGGCTCCACGTGTGGGAGTTTGCATGTTCTCTGTGTTGTTGTTGTTGTTGTTGTTGTACGGTTTCTTATCCTGGTTTTCCCTCTCAGTCCATGAACATGCTGCAGCTAATTGGAGCTGGCCACATTGTAATTGGTGTGTTAGTGCATTAAAAAGCAAGGCTAGGAAAGGTGATAAATCTGATGCACCAAATTAAAGTAGCTTTACTCATGACCAGTGAGCTTGGAAAGTTAGAGTGACTTCAAGCTGCCGTCAGTCTACAAAAGGATGTCACATTCTCTGAGTGGGCCAGATCCCTCCTCAGCCTTCGACAGCACCACCCGCGAGCATCTGCGTGGCCCACAAAGCCCCATTGTCGCCATCCACCGGGATCATGGGGTCTGCTGTAATTACAGTGAAATAAAGGATCTCGACAGCAGCACTCAGTGGTTCTTTGTAGGTGTCTAATGGCATCCAATTGTCCACAAGGACCGCTTTGTTTTTTTGGGGGTGTCATGCAAGTGCTGAATTTCACTGGACACCAGCTAGGCTGGTATTGATGGTCTGCCAGTTTTATATGTGCCATTATATTATAGGCATTAGGACTGGTCAGTTTGTATATGTCCGTCACGACCCTGAGCAGGATGGGTGCAGATTGATGGATGGAATCTGTGTGTGTGATGGGAATAACATTCGACACGTGTCCTGGAAAAATCACACACGGTAGTTTTTTTTTTTTTTGGAAATTTGAGCTGTTGAATGTCTGTAGGTAAATCATCTTATTTCAGCTAGCACATATCTCATGGGATATGTAGAAGTTGTCAGTAATGGAATTAAAATGGGTTCAGATGACTGCAGTGTGTACAATAAGAAAGCAGGGAATCAGAGTGTGACACAGAGGATCGACAGGCAGCTGTTCACCTGGTAGCTGTGGGTGTTCGGGGCCTGATTTGTAAGGTCACACCCAGTGCTGGTCTGAGGCCATGTGGTACTCTAGGGAAGTTTCACCAGCGGAGCCCTATTGGTCGGTGAAACCATGTGACATCCATGTGACTCTCGCCATTTGCTTTGTATCACAGAAACTAGACTGACTGGACAAAAGTGTTGGCAGAATGAACAAATGTGTTTATGGTCTAAAGGCAGCCTTGGCTTGCATGCAGCTTGGGCTGGGCAGTGCTGACTCATGCTGTGGAGTGTTGGACATCTGATATTTTATAGGGCACACAGACATAAGACTTTTCACAGGTAATCCTGCATTGTATCACCTAGACACTCACTGGTACTCATCTCAACAAGATTGCTGCCCTTTGTAGATTCTAATCGCACCTTTCCCCTTTCCCCAGTAGATGGTGCCTTATTGGTGTGGTCCAAAGCAGGAGTTACATCCTTTAAAGTTTTATATATTGACAATGTTTTTGCATCCTTTTAGCAATTGTCATAATGTTTCCAGCTACCTAAAAGAGACCTTTTCAGATACTTGCAGGTCTGTAGCTTTCTACACAATACTTTTCCTAATTTTCCTAATCTACTGGAGGAATCGCTTTTTGATTTTTATCGACTCCATTTCCATCTCTAAGATTTATGCCCATATTCATAATCAAAGTATAGACTCGCTCAGTTAGGTCAAGCTTTTATGGGAGACAGATCACAGGATCTGTCACAGGAAATATCACAGGAGTTTTGTGTGGAGATCCCTGGCAGAGGAAACAACTGCTCGCTCTCTGTGAAATATCACAGGAGTTTTGTGTGGAGATCCCTGGCAGAGTACACAGCTGCTCTCTCTCTCTGTGAAATATCACAGGAGTTTTGTGTGGAGATCCCTGGCAGAGTACACAGCTGCTCTCTCTCTGTGAAATATCACAGGAGTTTTGTGTGTAGATCCTTGGCAGAGGACACAACTGCTCTCTCTCTGAAATATCACAGGAGTTTTGTGTGTAGATCCTTGGCAGAGGACACAACTGCTCTCTCTCTGAAATATCACAGGAGTTTTGTGTGGAGATCCCTGGCAGAGGACACAACTGCTCTCTCTCTGTGAAACATGGCCTGCTACAGTATAGTACACCATACTTATTTTACTAAGGCTTGCATTTCTAAGATTCTTGAAGATGTCTCACTTAACCTCCTGAGACCCAAGGAAAAAAGTGTCCTTCAATTTTAGCTTATTTGCTTTGGAGGAAATAAGACATCTTACAATTTAGATTTTTTCAAATTTATTTTTATTTTTAATTTCACAGCATGCCCTCTTTAGTGTACAACAGGAATAAATATGTTTCCTTACATCAGTGAAAAGATAGATGCAAAAATAAAATGTCCACTACAATGGACATAAATGAATGGTTGGGGTCTCAGGAGGATAATGCATAAAAGTCGCCAATCACTCAATAACTGCAGAGTTCGGATGGGTGTAAAGCACACTGCCACTGGACTCTTGAGCAGTGGAGACATGTTCTGTGAAGTGACAAATCATGCTTCTCTGTCTGGCAGTCTGATGGATGAGTCTGGGTTTGGCAGATGCCAGGAGGACGTTACTTGCCTGACTGCATTGTGCCAACTGTAAAGTTTGGGGGAGGGATAATGGTATGGGGTTGTATTTCAGGGATTGGGATAGGCTGCTTGCTTCCAGTGAAGATAACTCTTAATGCTTCAGCATACCAAGACATTTTGGACAATTCTATGCTTTGTTTTGTGGAAACAGTTTGGGGAATGGCCTTTTCTGTTCCAGCATGACTGTGCCCCAGTGCACAGAGCAAGGTCTGAAAAAGACATGGTTGGCTGAGTTTGGTGTGGAAGAACTTTACTGACCCGCACAGGACCCTGACCTCAACCCCATCAAACACCTTTGGGATGAACTAGAATGGAGATTGATGTTGGACCTGAAAGCCTGGCTCACAGTGCCTGACCTCACAAATGTTCTTCTGGATGAATGAGCAAAAATTCCCACAGACACCCTTCAAAATCTTGTGGAAAACCTTCACAGAAGAGTGGCAGCTGTTATAGCTACAAAAGAGGTACCAACTCCATATTGATGCCTATGGATATTGAATGGGATGTCATTAAATTTCCTCTAGGTGTAATAGTCAGGTGTCCCAATACTTTTGTCCATGTAGTGTACTTCATCTCTTTTTCTTGGAAAATACCTGCATAAGCTCATTTTATTAGAGCATTACAAGAGCGTCTGCTAAATGACAGTGTCATAAAGCATATTAGTGCCGTTAATCAGCCGAATTCCATATTTGGGCTTCCAGAGCGAGTCACCAAGGCATTGATTGGTTGGCTGGATAGATGGCAATTATTTTGCATGTGCGATATCGTATTGATATGATATCGCCCAGTCCTACTCATGATAGCTATGTGTTAGTCCAGGAGGCTTGTGTGCTAACTTGTGAGCGCGGGATAGCTGTGTTTGCTTGGGACAACCAACAGTGATGTAACACTGGCAGTTTTTCAGTGTTGTTATTGAACTGAATGTCTGTCTGAGCTTTTGGCTAGTTTTCATTACTTTATTCACTGAGTAGATTTTAAACATTATTCTTACTCAAGGATTTGTTGAATGAATTCTTACTTTTTTTTTAATTTACGCCTACAATTTGTTAAACATATTATTGGTACAGGTAAAATATTAATGAGGCATTTTATGATGCCCAAAAGTTAGTAATCAGCATAAATTCACCATATCT